AAAGTAAAAATTTGTATTTTTTTATATAGATTAATATATAGTAGGATTAATAACTATGAATTGATGTAATCTTCCTGCCTAAATTATTATAATTAGCTTGAGTGTTCACTCTCAGAAATAAAACTCTCATATTTGACGATTCAGCAATTCTCGAGTTGTATTTCGCAAATTGGAGAATCATTTCGGCATGAAAACACGTGATTTGTCATGAAACACGAACTCTCTAATACATGACGAAAATGTTTCCTTATTTACGAAACCTCATCGTAGTTGCATTGTAGGAGATTGTTAACCAGAATCACGAAACTAGAATGTAGACTAGATCATCGAAAATAAAGTGACGATCAAGTGGTCCGGACTGCATCGTGATCAAGCAGTTGACCTCTTACCATGAAGATCCCAAGTTTGAATCTCGCTTTGGGCATGGATTTAATTTATATCTCTTTTCTTTCAGTCTTGTGTTATTTGAGAAATATTGATCTACCTGTATGGTGCCCATGATGAATTGATTATTAGAAAAGACATTAGGCGATATGAGATGTTTTTTTTTTGGGAAAAAATATAATGAAGAAATATTTATTTAATTTTGACAAAATTTGTCTCCTCGAAGAAGTGACGATAGTTATTTTATCACTTTGACGAAATGTTTGCTCGGAGCACATACTGAGAAACGGTTTCGTCAAAAGCAAAAAAAGTTTCGCGAAATTTGAGTATCCATTTTTTAAAATGTTTATAAAAGAAAGCTGAGACTGGGATTTTAAAATAAAAGATATTTGTAAAAAATATTTTTATTATTTTTATTTTGATTAAATATTTTTATTCATGTAATTTTTGGCCATTGTTTTTATGTTTTTGAAAAAAGTGTTTCTCGCAAAACTAAAACACGTAATATTTCAATAAAATGATTTGTGATGTGACCTTTTTAACACTAAACAACTTTTATTTTTTACTTGAATATGTTGTTGAGCGTATAATATATCATTCACATTAATTTTACATCAATACCTTATGCGTCTTTTTTATGCGTCGCTGAAAACCAAACTGAAAATATTATATTCAGTATGAAAGCCACTAAATCTGATAACATATTTTTTTAAAAAAATTAATGAGTGCTAAGGAAATTTTTTTTGGATAAATTACCTCACTGCCAAATCAAAGATTCCGTTTAAAATATCTTTTTATTCTCTTTTTTTTGTTTTGAAAAAAAGAATGTTTTAAAAATCTTCACGTTAAAACCATTTAATTCAAAAAGTTTTTATTATAGTTAATTGATCGGTTCGTCCTATTTTTGAGAGTCATATCTCATTCATGTTCTATTTTATATTAATGAAGCATATGGATATATTTTTAGCTTCATCTTTAGAGAATCGATAAGAATCATATCATCGAAGTTAGAAAACCCCAAATAATGAAAAAAAGAAAAGAATTGCTAAAACACAAAAAATTTTGGAATGTAATAATGATCATAATTATTTTATTTTCTGACATTCTTTTGGGTGATTATATATAGAACTTCAAAACAAACTTCCGAAATGTCATTACATGTCAAGGTCCCTTTTAGGTTCTTTTAAGGTAAATCTGCTTTTTAAATTTTTAAAATAAGTCTTTAAATGCTGACCACATTACTACAATCATGCCGTTCGTTTCGAAGATTTGGCGAATTGTTGATCTCAAATTTTATTTACTGGCAGTGTCTATTATTTTACTAGGGTGCTCTTACATAGCAATTGCTATTTTATGGGCAATACTGCTTATTTGAGCCGCGATGGCTCAGGGGATAGAGCGTTCGCCCTCCAATGAGGTGAACCGGGATTCGATCCCTGCGATGGCTGGTCGATACGAATTCCGCATCCTGCTTGCACTGACTACAGTGCTGACGTGAAATATCCTCAGTGGTCGACGGATCATGTGTTAGTGTCCCCTTGCCGTCAGGTTAAGCGTGGGAGGTTTACATGGTTTTCTTTACCATTTAACGTAAATGCGGGTTAGTTCCATCAAGAAGTCCTCCACGAAGGAAAATTTCTCCCAATACTCCATCAAGGAGTTCCCTTGTCTTCTGAATTGGGTCCCAAATTACAAGGCTACGGAGTTGAACATTAGTAGTCGTAAACCCATAAAAATTGGGTCGGCTGTTCAACGATGGTTATAAAATAAAATAAAATAAAATAAAATAAAATAAAATAAAATAAAATAAAATAAAATAAAATAAAATAAAATAAAATAAAATAAAATAAAATAAAATAAAATAAAATAAAATAAAATAAAATAAAATAAAATAAAATAAAATAAAATAAAATAAAATAAAATAAAATAAAATAAAATAAAATAAAATAAAATAAAATAAAATAAAATAAAATAAAATAAAATAAAATAAAATAAAATAAAATAAAATAAAATAAAATAAAATAAAATAAAATAAAATAAAATAAAATAAAATAAAATAAAATAAAATAAAATAAAATAAAATAAAATAAAATAAAATAAAATAAAATAAAATAAAATAAAATAAAATAAAATAAAATAAAATAAAATAAAATAAAATAAAATAAAATAAAATAAAATAAAATAAAATAAAATAAAATAAAATAAAATAAAATAAAATAAAATAAAATAAAATAAAATAAAATAAAATAAAATAAAATAAAATAAAATAAAATAAAATAAAATAAAATAAAATAAAATAAAATAAAATAAAATAAAATAAAATAAAATAAAATAAAATAAAATAAAATAAAATAAAATAAAATAAAATAAAATAAAATAAAATAAAATAAAATAAAATAAAATAAAATAAAATAAAATAAAATAAAATAAAATAAAATAAAATAAAATAAAATAAAATAAAATAAAATAAAATAAAATAAAATAAAATAAAATAANTAAGAGTAAGATAGATAGATAGGTAGATAGATACGTAAAATCAGTAATTTTTTTAGAAAAACAAAACTATATTTCCTGAAAAGTCAGTAAAATGGGGGTTCTATGTTAATTGCATAACAATAATTCCAAGGAATGGAAATTTTCATCAATACCAACAAATGCATGTCTTATTGTGACATATCACGCTACTATACATTTTCGAAGTAAATTTTCTTCGAGGTCATCTGATACTTTAGATATATATGTAAAAAAGAAGAGTTTTTAATGAATACATTCGTTTCGCGAAATATATATGTATAAAAAAGAAACAATAATAGATATTGTAGTTTTATGTAGAAAACGAATACTTCCAAGTATTTTTTATGACTTACAACATTCTTCTCTCAAATAAAAAGAATTCTGGTACTGAAATTAATAAAAAATGCTGAAGATTCTTTCCGTTAGACAAAAACAGGTCACATTTAATGTTTGTGTATCAACGAAATGCTAAGGCAACCGTATCTCAGTTTCTAACTCAAATGAATTTCAGCTATTTTTTTCTATTTATTTTAAGTAAAAAAAACTAGTTTTTGTTTATTTGCACTTGACAATTAGCTCTGATCCACAACACTTCGAAAGTCCATCCATGGTTGCTTAGATTCAAGGACTCTTATGAGCTATATACTTAGCATACATTTAATCAAGCTTTTTCTTTTTGATAAAGCTCATTCCTATATATTTATATAATTACTCACTAACTTTAACATATGGATTAATTTTAACAACTGTTGAATTAAATTTCTTTAAAAACTGAATTTTATGATTATTAAAAGTATCAGATTAAAATACGGCAATAACACTGGGAACAAATTTCGGTTGCTCTTAAGCACTGTTAGAATTTTCATTCTAAAATTATGGCAAAATAAGCAGCAGCAGTTTGTGCATTCAATTAACCGTAAAGTTTACGGTAAAGAACATTTTGTTAACAATAAATAATGTTACGTTTGAACAAGAAGATATAAGGAAAAAACTTATATATAACGCTGAAAACATACGGTGCGAGTGTTTCGATCGTGGTAAGGAATAACTGCAATATAAAATAGCGAAAACATTAGTGGCTACTTTGACATTTATGATTGATATTTTAAGAATGCAAGTGTAGCTTTTAGAAATTCATAAAATGTCGATAAATAACAAAGAGAAACCATTTATTTTTTAACCTTATCAACAACAATTATCTAAACAGATTCACTTATAGGGAACGATTTATTAATGAAAAACCTAAAAATAAAAAAAATACAGGCAAACGATATAGAATCTTTATTTTAAGATCTAAAAAAAATAAACTTTAAAAATTCCACGTCGTATTAAAAAAGACTTAATTCATCAATAAATCAAATTTATTTAGAATCAAACCTTTTACCATCTAAAACGTACAGAAAGATATATGTAATACAATAATTAAATACTTTTGTATTAATAAAAGCATTAAAACTTCATTCGTTTTCATATAATATCTTTAGTAAAAGATAAGGGTAGAAATTCTATTTTGGGACTTCAAGGCTAAAAACATGCCAATGAATAATAATTAGATTAATACTTCAAAAGAGAAGTTATTTTAAGATCTTTCACTTCCATATAAGGAAAGATTAAACGATTTGCTATGAGTAATAAATAAATTGATGAGGCGTAAGAATACAGAAAAAGGCATATGACTGGGCCTCTTTACAACTAAAAATCATCCTATAAAATGCAGGAGCAATGTTTTTGCGTGTCTTTTTTGGTGTATAATGTTTACCAACTAAACTCCGTCAGATCTGACTGTAACTCTGTCTCTCCCTCTCCGTCTGGAGAGGGGTGAAACTGCTATTTCACCATCGTTTAGCTAAATAAAATATCATGCCGAAACTGGACTCGTTAATCATGTTGCTCTCAATACTAATTTCCTAAAAATTATTAGATATATAAATGCATTAAAGTAGCAAACATTTTTAAATGTGAACATTATAGCATGTTATGCGTCATAGCGTATGTAGTTTTAAGTTTACAGCATAGTTTCTGAAAACAAATTTTTATTTGAAACTTTTAAAGCACATAAATTGTTTCAGATATTTTAAATTAAAAATGACTTAAATTCGTACCGTAAAAGGAGGCCTAAATGCTAGATATTCTGTGCATCACCCGTTCTCGCAAATTCAATTTAGAAAAAATTAAGTATGTGAGTTAAAGACAATATAACTTGGTTATATCTAAGCAGAGATAACACACAATTGCGTTATCGTAAAACTGCATCCGATAAAAAAAATTTTTTTACATAAGAAGAATATTTCTTATCTTTTTAATACTTTACAATCACTCTAGCATAAATTATTTGTTTTTATTTACCAATCTTACTTGAGACATTATTCTAGTTTCTGATTTCTATATGTTTCGCAATTTTTAGGATCAAAATAGAAAAAACCATCGGCAACTCGTAATTATCATGACACGAAATTTGAGAGAGTCAAAGATTCGAAGTAACAATTATTTTTTAGGTGTATTGTCTCTTATAGTCATAGAAATCTTCCGTTTAATTTAAAATTCAAGTCATTTTATTTTATAAGTTAATGAAATAAGCAAATAAATACAACAAAACTGCATAAAGGAAACAAAATAATAACAATAAAAACTCGAAAAACGTGTTTTGTCTAAAACATGCATATTTGAAACCTCTCATCAAGTAGCAATATTTCGAATTTTGAAGAAAACCGTTAAAATCACATTATCAATTGAAAATCACATTATCGCTGTTAGAATTTTTATTCTAAAATTATGGGAAAGTAACCGACAGCAGTCTGTTCATACGATTAACCGTAAAGTTTTCGGTAAATATTTTCTTGTAACCTCTGCCGTTTTGAAACCGTTTACAACTAGCATGGTTATAAAATCATGAATAGAAAATTAAAGGGTTTCTTAGCCGTTAACAGCTTTAATAGTTTCAAAACCGTAAAAACAATTTACTGGATGTAGGAAATAGGCTTTTCGTTCGATGAATCTTTTCTATATCGGAAAGAGCAGGAAGCAAATTGGAGGGTTTAGAATATAAGAAACTTTACGTGTAGTGAAGGCAATGGAGGAAATATTATGATGTTAACGCTGGGGACTCACAAGCCAGTTCTGTCGGCCATGAGACTTTCAGATTAGTCCTCTCGGCTGTAATAAGCACGCAATTGTAAGAAATTAAGTGGCTTGATTAGGTGAGCTTAGTTGGTGCGATAAAATTCTGGTCGCTTAATCGTATAAAGTGAAAGCAGTTAATAAACGGTTTTCTCACAGTTAACAGTTTGATTGCCATCTTTCTTATGGTTATTTGGCTGTTTTGTTTGAATATGGTTATTATTATTATTGTTGGTAAAATATCAATATGGTAAAATATGAATATGGTAAAATAACAATTATATAAAATGTCATTTGACCATTTTTTTCGAGAAATTTCTAACAATGTAGGGACGATTTGTTTTCTCATTTCTTTTTAGTTTTTTATTTTACATAATTATTTGCATTTGAAAAAGTAAGATTTTCTTCGTAATTGTTTTGTTTTCGATTTTTTCCATTGAATACTCCTTAGTAGGGGAAAATTTGACAAAATCGGGAACCTACACTTTGGACTTATCCACTGCTGTCACTTATCAAAACGATGAAACTAGGTATCGATATTTGTTATATTGTTTAGAAATAAATTAAGCTGAACAGTGTCCCCAGTCAAACTTTTTTTTTTTTTAAAAAAAAGAAGGCTGGTTGCAAAATTTTTACTATTCTTGTTAGAGAATCGCTACCAGGGATTTCTGTTTTCAGAATATAAAATTGAAAAGGTAAGGCAGTGAGTTTCCGAGTATTCTTTTAGAAATTTTATAGCCAGTTTTTTTTAGATAAATGAATTTATCTACTTGTCAACGCCAATGCTTTGAAAAATTTGATTAGAAAAAATTAACTTCGTAGTTTCGAATTGCTGGAAGATTTATTTCTGGTAAGTTCAACGTCTGATAACATTCTAAGTATAACGATATAAGAACAACATTTTCAATACATCATCCGCAATAATTTTGAGTGCAAATCCATTTTTACGGTAAAATCCACTTTTACCGTAAAACACTACCACAAATTTTACACTAATGTTTATTTAATTCGAGTAATTCAGTGATTTTACTGAAATTATTACTATTAAAATCAGGTTGGTAGATATAAGACTTTTAACTGTGAGAGTTAGGTATAGAGAAGCATTATCAAACTCTTATTTGTGGTATTTCTGTTCTTAAATCTGATCCACAAACTTAATTTACTAATAGTTACAAACAAATTAAATTCAAAATTACATATTTTCTTTGCTTCCAAATTCGTTGTATGTTTAATCAAGCAAAAATGTTATTGTATATACTTGTATTTAACATTATAACAAATATTTCATTAGGTGAAAACGTCGTTTTATTTTTTGTTTCAATATATATCCGATTTTATCTGATCAGTTTAGATAAAAACCATATATTAGCATTCTGAAATTTTTTTTATGATGTGTTATTGCTTTTTTTGAAATTTTTTTTCCTGAATAATATTGATTTTTGGAGCTAAAGGGATTATTTAATTCCTTAATTTTTAATTATTTAATCCTTAAATATCTGCCCTTTTAATTTTTTGAACATATAAAAAAATTTTTAAAAAGAAATCATAGACATTTGTTTTTTTTTTATATATTCAAGGTGTTCCGTAATAACCACCCTTAATCTTTATTTTAGAACACTTCTTCAAAAAAGAATTCATAAGAATTTTCAGATTTAGAATTTTAAATGAATAAAAAAATAAGAAAATAAATTGACAATCATGGTCAATATCAAGTAGAAAAAAGATAGAAATAAAATAATAATAATAATAAAAATAGTCTATTTGTCAGGGAAAATTAACAGACATTTCTATTCTATAAGAAACTATCGATTTATCAAAATTAATTTAAAGATTTTTTTAAAAAAGTTTTTGAAGAAAGACTTAAGAAAAATCCCAGTCTTACTCAACCCCTTTTTTAAACTTAATCATCTACAGAATTTATTTTGTACGGAAAATATGTAGAAAATCTTGGGAATGAACTCTGTAAATTTTTTACAAAATACAGGCTTAAAATGTAAAAAACAAATACCATTAGATCTTTTTCAGAATCTGATATCGTATTGTATTTACATTTTATTATAATTTTGTATTTTCTTTAAACATTAGTTATGATATTCTGTAAAGAAATAATTTACTAATAGCTAATACTTTATATCTCGTTACAGCTATTTAACAGTTAGTTGTAGTGATTAACGCATAATATGTGGTAATGAAGTCAGGATAACGCAAACATTTTTTTAAAAAAGCTGTGTATTCAAAATGACTAAGAAATGTCGACAATAAATCTGCAAAAAGTAAAATTTAGAAATGCAGGATTTTTGACGAAAATGTGAAGGTAATTTTCCGGTAAATTTAGAGTAAATGATTTAAACCATTCCATAATATACTCAAATTTACAAAAGTTATAAACCCATGTGATAATATTTGAGGAATATACATGCACATAAAGAAATTCTGAGTTTTATTTTTGCTTCGTTTTGATCATGAATTTTTTTTATAAAACTACATTACGTTTTTTAGTTCTGTAGGTGATTTTAATTTAATCAATTCAATTAATTTATTAAAATCTTGAACATTTTCTATTTTATTTCCAATGAGCTGCACAATCGGTCTTGCCGATGAGCAGACCTAGTGCGTTCTCCAGAGGTGGTATCCACTCTTTCAGGGCCACCACAATGGGTGAGATACCGTTGGTCATGTTAATAAAAAAAGATAGTTTCTGCCACGCTAGATGGCAGCACCGAGACTCTATTTGGATGCTAAAGTGCACTAGGAATTTAATTTTGCCGAAAACGCCAAGAGCCAATAAGGCAGTCCAGGGATCTTTTACATGCCGCATAATCATACGACATGGCTGCTGAGGATTTTCTGCATCCCAAAAATCCGGTGTCTGGGCTGGAGATCGAACCCGCAGACTTAGGCTTAGAAGGCTGATGACAAACCAACTGCGCCCCCCAGCCACAAATCTTGAACATTGCTCGTTAATTATTATGATTATTTACTGCTCAAAATTAATTCCTAATTTAAATTTGTCAGAAAAAGATAGTATTGGATTGTAAGATTATTCGAGTGATCATATTTAAGCCTATAAGAGGTACAAACATTCTTACCCGGCAGGCTAAAGAAAGCCCTGAAAATTTATTCCCTGTATTTTGCTTTTTCTGACGAATGTCAAATAATGGATTTTTTATTTATTTGCTATTTACATTGGCGTGCAAATATAGGCACTGTTCACTCCTTCCCCTAATAGATACGAGTTGAGTTGTCGTGCTGATTCGTAATAGTGAAATGTAGTATTTTATAACTAGACTTTTCCTTGACATTTGCTTCCTGTCTGGCATTTTTTTTCGAAACAGTAATGGAAAAATAACAGAAACCTTTTCGGAATACGTAATTTAAATAAAAAAATATATACAAGTACGATTGTCGACGTTGGAATTTCGAATTGAAGCAAACGATTTCAAACAACTGTATAAATTATAACCTGCTACATCTTTAATATTTGATTTTTTTCAAAGAGAAGAAATGAAATTGCTTTAATATTATGGAGTTAGTTATCTTTAATAAAACTAACTAAACATTCTTTTTAAATTGTGATTAAGATATTCAGAAGTGATGCTGTTTTAAAAATTTATTCATAACATTTTTAGTACATCATATAAATTTAAATGCTATGCTACATGCAGTCAGTCTTATAACTTTTCAATGGCGATAGTTATTCTGATTTAGTGATTAGATGATAAGAACGGGAACTTATAACGGGGAATATACACCGAAGAGCCATTACATTATGATCACCCTCCATCTATAACAATGGGCTCGCCTAGGTTTTCATGGTTTCTCTCNTATGGTCCTACATGTTATTAGCAGGGTGGTCATAATGTAATGGCTCTTCGGTGTGTATGTCTGTTAATTTTTCATGAAAATCTTCCTTCGTTTGGCGAAAAACTTCCATCCTTTCATTTCATTTCACTGAAAAAATGTGAAATAATTGTAAAGATTTATGCAATAATGATAAAATAGAATTTTCAATTGGCAAGATTCGGTTTACTATATATAATGAGCACTTCAGACAAGTATTGTCAAACTAAATTTTGTTAGAAGAACCTTAAGCTTAGAATAA